TGAAAAAGATTCTATGTATATCATAGCAATATAGCGTTAGGTTTGTCTGATCCATAAGAAGCAAATTTATACCTATTTCTGAATTAAGCACAAGATAAAGAACAGCTGTTAATATTTTTTAAGAATATTTTAAATGGTGATTTTGTATAATTGAAGAAAAAGTCTTGCTAATTTTACCTAATGTTTCATCATTAATCTCAGGACAACTTACTGCAGGGCCAAACAAAGGGATTGTTTCCCAGATAGGACTCTGAGAGTGCATGTAGGCATCATCGTCTGGCATTGTCTAATCCATCTCTGACATAATAGAGATTGTTTAAGAGATTTAAATCTAAAACCTGAAGATGTTTTTAAAACAATATTAACAACTGTTAGATTTTAAAAGAATAACCGAACACATTTGTTTTCAGTCATGATACACTGCTTTGTCTCAATCACAGTAATTTTTTCTTCAGTGTTTTGTGATCACACTATTAGGAAAAAGTAAAGGGCTCATTGCTGTGTGAATTAGTAGATTTGGCTAAACTACTTACATGGGACTTTAATAGTATCTGAGGGATTCGATGGCTCCGTGTAATGTTCTCATTGATAAAACACATCCTAATATCCTTGGAGCTATCAGTATTTTCCAGTTTTGTTGGTATGTGATCTACCTATAGTTTAAATTATACAGAAAGTAAATTGTGGCAAGTGATTTCATTTAGTTGGAAGAAATTGGGAGTAATTATGACACAAAGCACTTACATTTATTAGTGAGCTGGATTCTCCTGAACCTATACTATTATATGGAAGCTGCCATACATTTTCCCCCTTACTTTGATTTACAAGAGCCTGTGCAACAGCTCAGGAACGGTGTTCTTGTGCGACAAGCCAAATATGTCACTAAGGAAAAAAAAAGGCATAAAGCTTAGGCATGACAAGCCAAATATGTCACTAAGGAGAAAATAAAAGGCATAAAGCTTAGGCGTCTATCTTTAAAAATCAAAAATTTTACTTGATTCTCACCTATGGACTTCTGACATGTTCACTATGTGGAGTCTTAAAGTTATAAAGGTTCAATATGTTTTTTGAACAATATGCTAAATCAGTAGCAAACCCACTGCCATATTAGTTGTTCAGGAGATACTAAAAAGACATTAAGCTAGATTGCAGTTTAAAAATTAAACTGTATATAATGTGCATATAATGAATTTTTATCTTATGTAAATTATTTTTAGAACACAAGTTGGGAAATGTGGCTTCTGTTCATTTCGTTTAATTAAAGCTACCTCCTAAACTATAGTGGCTGCCAGTAGCAGAATGTTAAATTGTGGTTTATATACTTTTTGCATTGTAAATAGTCTTGGTTGTATATTGTCAGTGTAATAAAAACAGAATCTTTGTATATCAAAATCATGTAGTTTGTATAAAATGTGGGAGGGATTTATTTACAGTGTGTTGTAATTTTGTAAGGCCAACTATACACAAGTTTTTAAAATTGCTATCATGTTTGTATATTTACACATCTGATAAATATTAAATCATAACTTGGTAAAAACATCTAGCTAAAAGCTTTTTCTTTTCAAAAGTCATGTTACTGAATACTTTCATTGCACTCATTTAAAAAGTAGAATAGCAGATATCTAAAATATGTGGTAAACTGTGCTATACATATGGTAGGAAATACAATATTGTATGCAGTGTGTTTAATTATTAAAGTTTCTGGAAAGCAATCTCTTTCGCCTTAATTTATACTAGGTATATTAACGAATTTGCTTAGGGTTAAACTAAGCATATTGACGTAAAATATTTTTAAGAGTATTAGAAGAAATGTTGAGAGAACGCTTTGCTGAAATTTAGAAGTGAGGTTTTATTCTATCTTAAGTCTGAACCATACTCACGGAAAACAAACTGTGAAATTTAAGAGGACACCATCAATGGATCTTATTTAAAAGCAAATTATTTAAAAAACTGCATGATTCCAGTTATAGCCAATTGCTCAAATGCAGTAGTCCTCCCTTTCTTCCCTTATCTGAGGTTTCACTTTCCATAGTTTTAGTTGCCTGTAGTCAACCGCAGTCCAAAAATATTAAATGGAAAATTCTAGATATAAAAAATTCATGAGTGTTGAATTGCACACCCTTCTGAGTAGTGTGATGAAATCTTGCGCTCTTCTACTCTGAAACGAGTTATCCCTTTGTGCAGTATATCCTGCCTGTTAGTCACTTAGTAGCCGTCTCTGACTATCTCAGTGCTTGTGTTCAAGGAACCCTTATTTTACTTAATAATGGCCCCAAAGCATGAGAATAGTGATGCTGGCAATTCAGATATTCTCATACTATGCCGAATTTATAAATTAAACTGTATGGGGAAAAAAACATAGTATACATAGGGTTTGGTACTATCTACAGTTTCAGGCGTCCACTGGGGGTCTCGGGACATATCCCCTGTGGATAAGAAGGGTCTATTGTGCTTAGAAATAATTCAGTATTCACAGTCATCAAGACTTCATTTTACAGATGGGAAAATAGAGGGCCTAATGAAATTTAAGTGAATACCTGACACATACAGCAAATTAGAACCCAAACCAGCACCCAGTTCCCCTTAATTTGAGATGTTTTTTGTTTTTGTTTGTTTTAAACTTCAGTATACGTTTGGAATTCCCATAACCAAAAGTAGAATACTATAATTACCCCTCCTCCCATGCCCTAGGCCCTTACTGCCCATACCCAACATCCAGCTTTGGCAGCTGTCAACAGCACGTGGTAAATCTTGTTTCCCCTTCATCCCATTCACTCACCTTCTCTAATCCCTCTGCTCCTTGGATTATTTTGAAGCAAACCTAAAACTGATTGTTTCATCTGAAAATATTTCAATATGTCCAGGGATACACTGTTTTAAATTGTGTCTCATATTGCAATAGGACTCACTGATAATGATGTTATTTTTGAAACAAAGAGATTTTCAAGCAAGGGTCACTCTTCACTTACACAAGTTTACAAAGCCAGCAAAAAACAGGAATTATCTCAAATATAGCCTGAAAGTGAAAATAAATGAGTAGTAAGAAGTTACTAAGTTAATACCCTGAAACTTAAGGGGAGAGGCCCTCTTTCGAGCTTATTTGTACATTTTATATAATGCAACCAAACTTGATTATGGTTTCTGTCCCAGTAATGAAAAGGCGCTGTAATAAAGGAGACCACAGGACTTGATTATGTTCAAGCACCAGCACCAGCGGCTCTTAGCCTCTTAGCTCCAGGATTGTTACAGCATAATGCAGTAGTTGGTCATGATGATGACTCTGAGGCGTCAAGGGCATAATTTGTTTAAAACATTTTAGATCCCATAGCAAGAGGTTACAGTGGAACAGTTTTGGAGTTTAAATGATACAAGTTACCATTTACCATTTTCTCTTGTCTGGTCCTGTGCTAGAAGCTTTGAGAATTAATAAAATATGACTGGGAGATAGATTATTTCCCTATTTTACAGAGGAGTAAGTCAGAACTTGGAAAGGCAAAACAGCTTGTTTAGGGAAAACTAGCAAATAAGAGGAAAACCACAGATTCAAATACTGGTCACTTACATACTAAAACTTGGTGGTTTTTTTTCCTACTATGCTTCAGTAATGTGGGGTGATGTTTGTTGGGAATAGCTTCTCAAGTTTACCCCCTTATGAAGCCCTAAAGTGGCCCAGGGTGATGCTGTTGTTATTGATTCGAGAGATGCTCTCCTAAAAGGTTTTAACCAGATACACCAATATTGAGTAATTGGGATGGATAGAGAATGAAAACTCAAGCCATTTTATTCCTCCATCAATTCTATCACTCATTTAAATTGCTCTAGTTTTCTTCCATTTTCATTGTTTTTACTGAAAATTTTAACAAAGCTTACATTCCATTTAAATAGTTTTAACCATGTCATATTTTATTAACCATAGCTTCTGTCTTCTGGATTGCCCTTAGTTACTATTATTTCTACTGTAATTCTTTGGTGTCAAATTTTGCAGATCTAAATTTCATTGAAGATTTCATATCACTCTTTGGTCAATGACAAATCCTGTGTGCTGTTTTAGCCATTGTCAGTTTTCATTGTGTGATATTTCTACAGCAATATGCATTATGAGCTGGATAAAGCCCATTTACTTAGAAGTGTACACAGTTCTGTCAGCATGAATAAAGGAACCAGCTTTAGTATCTATCACCTCTTCCTTACTACCTTCATCCCCATCCCCAATCCCTGAGGAGAGTACTCCTTCTGAAGTCCCACAAAATGTTTTCATTCCTCACAAAATGCATATAACAGAATATTTTAACGGTATGACTCTTCACCACAAAAGAATGAGGAGCTTGTAACGGCTTGTAACGGCAAGGCTTGTATTTTATGTATCTCCAGTGCTTAGCACAGACCGTAGTACACTAGAGCCTTCAGAAAGACCCCGATGTTCACATGCACTACACAAACGAGTTCCTGTAAGATGCTAGGCAGACGAAGGGCTACCAAAAACAATGAAAGATTGTACCAAAAGTGCATTTTTAGATACACCTCTAAACTTGGATAAAGTTCGCCCCCCACCCCCTAAAATACGGCCGTGTGTGGCCGTGTGCTGAGAGAAATCACGGCTGATCCTTGAAACCCTGACCTTGTAATGATACGGAGTTAGTTTTCGCTCCTGCTTCCCCCCCACCCCCAAAATATCTGCCTTACTCAGTGATAGCACATTTCCTGTACCAAATGAACCACAGCAAACAAGGGACGGGCCCTCCAAGCTGTCAGCCGGGAGCGGGACCTTATCCGTGAGCGGAGCGCGCGGTTAAGTCAGAAGAAGCAGCGCAGGTCCAGGCCAGGGAGGAGGGAAGGCTGCCAAGAGACTGCAGGGCGCCGGAAGCCACCTTCTACAGGGCTGGACAAAGCCCAGGCGGCCTCCACGCGTCGCCATGGCAACGCAAAGTCAGCGCCCGCCCGGATTGGCCGCGCCGCCGCGCGCGGGGCCTGCTGGGAAAGCACGTCCCCGCCGCCGCAGCCCTGCCGGTTTGAACTTGGCGGGCTCCGTGAGGGCTGTGGGGCGGTGGGGGGTTGTTTCGCCCCTTCCCGACTCCCGGTTCTTGGCCGACTGCAGGTCCAGGCCTCGGCCCTCCTCGGACTCCTCCGTCCTCATGGCGGGCGCCCGGGGGCAGGGGCTGGGGGCGGTGGAGGTGTGCTCGCTGTCGCCGCCGCTGAGCTGCGGCTATTCCACCATGTCGCTGTTGTCTCCCCTCGGCCACAAGAGCTTCCCGTTTGACGACGACGACGGTGACGGGGAGGAGGAGGTAGATGTGGACGAAGATGCTCATGACTCAGAGGCCAAGGTGGAGAGCCTGAGAGGAATGGAGTTACAGGGGTGCTCCAGGTAAACCCGAGGCCGCCGGCCGATACAGCCCCTCTCAAGATTTCTTAGACCTTTCTAAGTACTTATCTCTGGCGGCCAAACACCCTCTTGTCTTCCCTCTCAAAGGCTGCACGGGCACCTGCATGCACAGGTGCTGCTGCTTTTGGCACATAGAGTCTGGGCCGGTTCTTACACATGACTACAGATTTATCATCGTTCTTAATCCTTTTTCCTGAGAATGTGATGATTCCTACAGTCTCGCTCCCCAGAGAAACGCACCTAGTCTTAAACATAAAATTTTGCTACAATTTCAGGAGTTTTATGAAAACTCAGAAAACAGACTGGGGACACTAGAACTCTTGTCCAAACCCTTAACACCAAAATGTAGTTTACTGCACCTTAGTGATACCTGGAGCTATTTTGAAAACAGTCTGATTGTCAGTGAAGTATGTTGTAGTAAGCAGTATACTTTTTATGTCATAGATTAAGAGCTGAAGCTTGGAGGCTAGCAATGTCAACTTCAGCATCCAGAGACAATGTTGGGTCTGCTCTGAGCACTGAACAGTAGAAAAGAAGTCATTGAATCAGAGAATGTTAGAATCAAAGGGATTATTAAAGCCATCTTAATTTATTTATTTCTGCAGTTCATTCAGCAAACAGTTTGTGCCATATGGGGCCCATAAACAAGATAGGCATTGTCTCTGCTCTCATGGAATTAAAGCCTACATCTAGCCACTCATTTTACAGATAACAAAACTGGCTCAGGATACAAATAAAAAGTCTAATTCAAAGGCATACACCTAGTTATTAGCAAAGCTGGGCCTAGTCTCAAGGTATATTGCTCATGTTTTCTCTTCCCTATGCTACGTGCCTATTGTTGGGCATAAAGAAATAGGAGCAAAGGGCCTACCCCTGCAGGAATATCTTTTTCTGGGACAGACTTAGTGATGCAGGTTCATTCAGAGGTAGACTCATTATGTCATCTAAAGGAAGCATTTACAAGTTTCTGATTGTCAAGCTGCACAAGGCACAATACAGGAGATCTAAGACATACAGACAAAAGAACCCATGCTTTATGTGTAAGCAACCAGTTAAACCCCTTTGCTATAAGACATGCATACACAGAGTAAATGGAATATGGAACCGTATGAAGTGACTCACATACACAGTTACAACAGTGAGTCTCTTAAGAATGAGAAGTAAACATTAGTACTTTGGTAGGAATGGAGATCAGTAAGAGTGACCAAGCAAGCCACTTGTCCAGACTGGTTGTAACAACAAGAAAGTTTCAGGAGTCCGTTTTCATGTGGGCCTTTGTACAGATTCTTCAGGATCGAGTTGGTCTCAGTGATTTTTAAAATAAATGATTTTAAAAATAATTTTAAAATAAAGTACCTTCTAAGCCTAATCAGCAGGACTAAGCAATGTAGACAATTTAGCAGCCCAAGGAATGATGGCCATGAAAACTACAGCTCAGCTACTGAGACCTTGCATTAGCTTCCAAGAGCCAAAGCCCTGACCAAATGGAGCTCATTACAAGAGGAACCAGTCATATTTATGTCAAACCAAAGCACGAATGAGCTGGTAACACCCCAGGGCCATAGCTGCCTTCCTATCACAGTTCATCCCCTCTGAATCAAGGCAATAGGTAAGATGTGGTCTGGAGAGAATGCAGGAATTGTCAGGCCTGTGTGTGGCAAGTGTCAGACGCTTATTAGGTGTTCAGTAAACATGTGCTGAAGGAATGCCTATTTCCCACTTGCTAGAGAACAGATAGTTGTGATTGTTTTCAAATGCTTCAGAAAACCCAGCACTTCTTTTCAGGAAAGAGAAGTGTTTAGAACATTTCCTTATTCCTCCTCCCTACCTCTCACCTTTAGTTGGTGCCTTGACAGTTTGGGGGTGATGGGATGAAGAGGGCAGGTGCCTGAGCTGTAGCGGTGAGCATCCTCTTGTGGACCAGAGTGTGGAATTTTATGCCTTTTTTTTTTTTTCCATCCGTCACCTGCCACAGGGATCTGACTGTGGCAAAACTGATAAGGTGAGGCTTTCTTGGGATAGACTCAGGCATCAGCTGCACATGATGGGGTTGAGCTGCAGGTATTTTCGGTGTATAGAGCTGTGCTTAGAGGACGCACTGACCTTCAGGTGTGTTGGATAGCACTGTGGTAAAGCTCACAGGTGACTTCAGACAAGATAATGAGAAATGCTTTCCGGGAGTCTTTTATAATATGCATTGGGCCTGCTATTCATTCAGCTTTATCCTAGAAACCCATTAGGAAACCCGTGCCTTAATAAACGTCTTGGTCATAAACAGCTGCTTATCAAGCCTCTCTTGATTATGAGCAGAGCTGTAGTATACATGCCACACTTTTTGAATACATTTGTTAAAACTGATGAGGCAAGACATGTAATATTTAAAGTGTCATTTTAAAAAGAAAACACTGATCTCACTGATTTCTTCTTTCAACAAACATGTCTTAGGAGGTTACTATATTCTAGGCCCTAAGCTAGACTCTTGAAATAAAAAATGAGTTAAGACATGTTTTCCGTCTGTTAGGAATTCATGATTTCTGGCAGAGATGGACAAGTGACAGAAAGCCTAAGGCACTTAGTCCAGATTTTTTTGCAGAATGAGGCAATAAAGGTTAAAACCTGAGCTAAATCTTAAAGGGAGAGTAGGAATTAGCTATACTCCTCCTAGTAGTACTAACTGACACGTTCCAAATGCTTACTGAGTGCCCGGAACTGAGGTAAGTGCTGTAGTGTGGATCGTTCATGCCACAGTACCTGTGAGGTAGCCACTACTATTTTCTCCACTTAACAGATGAGAAACAGAGGCTTAAAGAGGTTAAAAAATGTACATAGCTAGGAAGCAGCAGGTAGAGATTCACCCAAATGTTTTACTCCCAAATCTAAACTCTTACTTTGGCCGTGTGTGGAGGTGGAGGAAAAGAATTTCAGAATTTTAAGCAAAGCTGCAGAGCACAAGGGCGTGGCATATTCATCAACGTGCCTAAGTTCAATAAGACTGAAACGTAGAGTCCAGATCAGCTATTGGTGGAAGAAGAGGTTGGAAGATAAGCAGGGCCGATTCATGGGTGTCAGGCTGTGGAGTGTGGATTTCATCCTATGGGCAGAGGAGCACTGAAGAATTTTGAGATGGGGAGTGACATGTCGGAAGGATGCATTTGAAGGATGAATCTGGCAACGGTGGAGAATAGTTTGAAACGGAGGGAGAAAGGCCAGTTATGACCAGACAGCAGTTGTGAGGTTGTAGAAGAGAAGAATGGCTTGAGAAAACTGAAAGAAGTAAAATAGACAGGATGGGGTGATTATATGGGTGTGGGACCTAGAGGTACCAAATGTGCATGGGAAGCAGGAGTCAAAGATCTGGCTTCTGGCTTGGCTAACTGGGTGGGTGTTGGTACTCTTCCCCGAGGTAGGGTTATAAGAGGAGGAGTAAGATTCTTCTTGATGGGGAGGGTAGTGAGTGGGTGGTAGATGATTCGACTTGTTTTAGACTGGTTGCGTTTGGTATTTAAGTGGAGCTATTGGATGGTTGAAAATGAAAGTTTGGAGCTGAAGAGCAAGGTTTAGCCTGGAATGCCTGATCCAGGCCTCATCAGCACCTAGTGACAGTGGAAGCTACGGGAGGGTAAGGTGGTGCTCTGCAAGACTGACAAGGAAAGATATAGGAGATAAATGACACATCAACAATGTCCCTTTCCCACTAGAATACAAATTCCATAATGACATGGATGAATGAAGAAACAGAAAAAAACAAGTAAATGGAAGCTACAAGGCAGAAAAAGCTGAGCATGGCAGTGGACGAGGCAATTGGTTGCCTGAAGCAGGAATGTTAGAGACAAAGAGGGGCTGAGTCTATAATAATGTAGTGTTTTGAGCTGCCTGGGGTCCTGAACAAGCTTTCTTTCCATGCGTGCTCATGGTTCAGCTGTTCCTGCTTTATGGGGCTTGTGTATCTGGCCAAGGCCCTGTGTTCTTTATGTATGTATGTTCTCACAGTACTTCTCCTCCCCTCTTCTTTTGAGCTTGAGTGAGTGCTTACTTTTCCACATACCCAGAAGAGACAGACTGACAGAGGTTCGTGGTGAAGACTATGGTAGGAGGTAACCCGACTCTGGGGAGCTGTGGACACCCTATCTGAGAACTGGCAAAAGGGAGTCCACCGAAACATGAAAGAATACAAGGACCATATATTTTTGATACCTTTTTATTTCAAAACAATTTCAAACTTACAGAAAAGTTGAGAGTGTAAAGAACTCTGTCTGCCCTTCACACCAAAACCTTAATTGTTACCACATTAGCTTTACCATCCTCGCTGTGTAGGTATGTATTCTTCCCTTCGTGAAGTATTTAAAGGAGGAAAAGGGAAAAGTCTGCTCCAGGATCTGGTTAGAAACATGTGTTGTAATTAGTAGTCCAGATATAAGATTTTTAAGAATAAAAAAAATTGTTGTAATTGAGGCAAATGGACTGGGTGTGATTTTAGAACATGAGAGAATTCAAAGGCAGTCTGAAGGGTAAACTAATTCAAACATTGGACTTTCTGTTCATGGTTTTTCAAGTGTATATTTATATATGATTAATTCAGCATATTTATATATAAAAATCACAGTATTGTAAATATGTTGTGGAATTCTGCTTTCATTGTACAGCTAAGTGAGTTTGACTGCTAAGCCAAAGAGTTTTGAGTACAAGTGCTGTAGTATCCTCTCTTTTGCAATAGTGTGGTTGGATCCGAAGATAACCAAGAAGAACAGAAACAGGTGCAGTTACCAGAAAGCAGCCTGACACCGTGGGAAGTGTGGTTTGTTGGCAAAGAAAAAGTAGAACGTGACCGTCTGCAACGGAAGGCTCTAGAGGTAAAACTAGACAGTATTCTTTCTATTTAATCCATGAGCTCACAAAGTAGAGCTGCTGTCGAAATTAAAATGTTATTGTTATTATCCCTCACAACAGACTTTTTGCATTTTCTTGTATCAATTTGCTATATTGATATTAACAACTTACTGGAGAAATAATACATGTTCATTATAAGAACATTTGGAAGATACAGCTAAGCATAATTAGGAAAATGAAAATCTCTAATCTTGTCCCCTGGAGATAACTATTGTTTGTTTTTGTGGTTTTAAAAAAAAATTATTTATTTATTTATTTTTGGCTGCAATGAGTCTTGGTTGCTGCACTTGGGCTTTTTCTAGTCGTGGTAAGAGGGGGCTACTCTTTGTTGTGGTGCGCGGGCTTCTCATTGCAGTGGCTTCTCTTGTTGCGGATGGAGCATGGGTTCTAGGCGCGCGGGCTTCAGTAGTTGTGGCATGCAGGCTCTAGAGCGCAGGCTCAGTAGTTGCGGCACACGGGCTTAGTTGCTCCACGGCATGTGGGATCTTTCCAGACCAGGGCTCGGACCTGTGTTCCCTGCATTGGCAGGCAGACTCCCAACCACTGTGCCACCAGGGAATTCCCCATAACTATTGTTAATATTATGGCATATAGCCTTCCACATTTTCTTCTATGTAACTTTTAAAAAACGTGCAAATGTATATTCATATAGTGTCACCATATGTACATTTAACTAAAGTCAGCTGCATATACTTGGTAAAATTTTTAAGAGAAATAAAAATTGAAGTAGAGGCTGGAAATCTATCCCCATATCACTCAGAGCATGTGCCCCAGAGTGAGTTTGTGCTGGGAGGTGGGAATCTTCTGGGCTTTCAGGTTTTTTTCAGTTTCTCTTTGCCTCCCTGCCTCACTTGTGGACATTTTTGTATTCGTAATTCTCTCTGAACTCTGTCCAAACTCAAAAAATAGTTTGAGATACATTTTCACATGAATCCGTCATTCTTTGAACTCTTATCATTTGCTGTTTAGAACCTAGCAGCCAAATAGATTTGGATAGTTTGGCATCCTCCAGTATGTAGACCAACTGAATTCTCTCTATCCAGACACAGAAACCAGGTAGATTTGAGTGGTGAGGGATATGTCTTGTTTTTAATAAATAGGATCACTCTTTTGTAACCTGCTTTTTTCTGCTTATTGCATTATTAATGTTTCTGTATCATTAAATATTTTTATAGCATCATTTAAAAATGGCTAAGATTATTAAAATATATTTAGAATGTATTGAATATATAATAGAATATAGTTAACCAGTTCACTATTGTTGCATATTTAAGTTTATTCTAATTTATTACTCTCCCTGTTACTGTAAAATCCTTGGAATTGAAACTTCGCCCTCCATGATCTTCTTGGAGTAAATTTTCCATTTCAGTTTTGAAACTAGTTGTTCTTTCTGTGATGGCTTTCTGGCCAGGTAGGCAGTCTTGGCATGATTCAAATGATTGTAGAAGCCAGTACGTTCTGCAGTTTCCCTATTGCAGTATACTTTGTATTCTAAGTACAAACTTATTCCTGGAAAAGTACACAGTAGTACTTGTTTCTGCTTAGAAGGGCACAGGACTTGAGAAAGACTTTATGGTTTGATGTCAGGCAGGCTTATTTAAACTTTTACACTTCCATTTCCTCATCTCTACAGTAAGGATAAAATAATGCTATCTGGTCACAGGGTTTTTTAGAGCAGCGGTCCCCAGCCTTTTTGGCACCAGGGACCAGTTTCATGGAAGACAGTTTTTCCACGGATTTGGGGAGGGGGGGGTGGTTCAGGAGGTAATGCGAGCGATGGGGAGCGGCAGATGAAGCTTTGCTCACTTGCCCAGCACTCACCTCCTGCTGTGCGGCCCAGTTCCTAACAGGCTGCAGACCAGTACTAGTCCACAGCCTGGGGGTTGGGGAACCCCGGTTTTAGAGGATTAAATGAGACAAATTATAAAGATGGCTGGTGTTTTTATTGGTATTGTTATTGATATCATTGCTAGTCACAGTCTTTTTCTTTCTCTTTTACTGAATTATGGTTGATTTACAATGTTGTATTAGTTTCAGATGTATAGCAAGCTGATTCAGTTTTATATATACATATGCACACATATATATACACATTTTCAGATTCTTTTCCATTATAGGTTATTACAAGATATTGAATATAGTTACCTGTGCTATAGAGTAAATCCTTGTTGCTTATGTATTTTATATACAGTAGTGTGTATCTGTTAATCCCCAACTCCTAATTTTTCCCTCCCCCATCTTTCCCCTTTGGTAACCATAAGTTTGTTTTCTATGTCTGTGAGTCTGTTTCTGCTTTGTAAATACATTCATTTGTATCATTTTTTTAGATTCCACATATAAGTGATATCATATGATATTTGTCTTTCTCAGTCTGACTTCACTTAGTGTGATAATTTCTAGGTCCATCCATGTTGCTACAAATGGCATTATTTCATTTATTTTTATGGCTGAGTAATATTCCATTGTGTGTGTGTATACACGTGTGTGTGTGTGTGTGTACGCGTGTATGTATGTGTATATATATATGTCCCACATCTTTTTTATCCATTCATCTGTTGATGAACATTTAGGTTGCTTCCATGTCTTGGCTGTTTGAAATAGTGGTGCTGTGAACATTGGGATGCATGTATCTTTTCAAATTAGAGTTTTCATCTGTTCTGAATATATACCCAGGAGTGGAATTGTTGGATCATACGGTAACTCAATTTTTAATTTTTTAAGGAACCTCCATACTGTTCTCCCTAATGGGTACACCAATTTATATTCCTACCAACAGTGTGGGAGGGTTCCCTTTCCTCCTCACCCTCTCCAGCATTTATTATTTGTAGATTTTTTGATGGTGGCCATTCTGACCAGCGTGAGATGATACTTTATTGTAGTTTTGATTTGCATTTCTCTGTAATTAGCTATGATGAGCATCTTTTCGTGTGCCTGTGGGTCATCTGTATGTCTTTGGAGAAATGTCTATTTACGTTTTCTGCCTATTTTTTGATTCTGTTGTTTCTTTTTTTTGATAATAAGCTGTATGAGATTTTTGTATATTTTGGAAATTAATCCCTTGTTCGTTGTATCATTTGCAAATATTTTCTCCCATTCCGTAGGTTGTCTTTTCATTTTGTTTATGGTTTCCTTTGCTGTGTATATAAGGCTTTTAAGTTTAATTAGGTCCCATTTATTTGTTTTTGCTTTTATTTCCGTTACTATAAAAGACAGATCCAAAAAAGTATTGCTTTTTGCAATTTATGTTTATGTCATATTTATGTTTATTGCTTTTTGCAATTTATGTTTATGTCAATTTATGTTTATGCAATTGCAGTTTATGTCAAAGAGTGTTCTGCCTATGTTTTCCTCTAAGAGTTTTATAGTATCTGGCTTTACATTTCGGGCTTTAATCCTTTTTGAGTTTATTTTTGTATATGGTGTTAGAGAACGGTCTAATATTATTTATTTACGTGTAGCTATCCAGTTTTCCCAGCACCACTTATTGAAGAGACTGTCTTTTCTCCATTGTATATTCTTGCTTGTTTTGTCAAAGCTTAATTGACCATAGGTGCGTGGATTTATTTCTGGGCTTTCTATCCTGTTCCACTGAACTATATTTCTGCTTTTTGCACCAATACTATACTGTTTTGATTACTGTAGCTTTGTAGTATAGCCTGAAGTCAGGGAGCCAGATTTCCTCTTGCACTGTTTTCTTTCTCAGGACTGCTATTGGGGTCTTTTGGCTATTTGGGGTCTTTTATATTTCCTTACAAATTTTAAGATTCTTTTGTTCTAGCTCTATGAAAAATGCCATTGGTAATTTGGTAGGGATTACATTGAATCTGTAGATTGCCTTGGATAGTGTAGTCATTTAGACAATATTGATTCTTCCAACCCAGGAACATGGTATATCTTTCCACATGTGTGTGTCATGTTCGGTTTCTTTCATCAGGGTCTTATAGTTTTCTGAGTACAGGTCTTTTGGCTCCTTAGGTAGGTTTATTCCTAGGTATTTTATTCTTTTTGATGTGATGGTAAATGGAATTGTTTCCTTAATTTCTCTTTCTGCTCTTTCATTGTTAGTGTATAGACATGCAGCAGATTTCTGTGTATTAATTTTGTATCCTGCAATTTACTGAATTCATTGATGAGCTCTAGTAGTTTCATTAGGATTTTCTATGTGTAGTATTATGTCATCTGCAAACAGTAACAGGATTACTTCTTCTTTTCCAATTTGGATTCCTCTTATTTCTTTTTCTTCTCTGATTGCTGTGGTTGGGACTTCCAGAACTATGCTGAATAAAAGTGGCAACGTGGACATCCTTGTCTTGTTCCTAAATCCTAGAAAAAATGCTTTCAGCTTTTCACCATTGAGTATGATGTTAGCTGTGGGTTTATCATATATGGCCTTTAGTTTCTTGAGGTAGGTTCCCTCTAAGCCCACTTTCTGAAGAGTTTTTTTTTTTTGTCTATTTTTTTTTACATCTTTTTTAGAGTATAATTGCTTTACAATGGTGTGCTAGTTTCTGCTTTATAACAAAGTGAATCAGTTATACATATACATATGTTCCCATCTCTCTTCCTTCTTGCGTCTCCCTCCCTCCCACCCTCCCTATCCCACCCCTCTAGGTGGTCACAAAGCACCGAGCTCATCTCCCTGTGCTATGCGGCTGCTTCCCACTAGCTATCTATTGTACGGTTGGTAGTGTATATATGTCCATGCTACTCTCTCGCTTTGTCACAGCTTACCGTTCCCCCTCCCCAAATCCTCAAGTCCGTTCTCTAGTAGGTCTGTGTCTTTATTCCTGTCTTACCCCTAGGTTCTTCATGACATTTTTTTTTTCTTAAATTCCATATATATATGTTAGCATACTGTATTTGTCTTTCTCTTTCTGACTTACTTCACTCTATATGACAGACTCTGGGTCCATCCACCTCATTACAAATAGCTCAATTTCGTTTCTTTTTATGGCTGAGTAAT